CTGCTGGAAATAGACACAGAGCATATGGTGCAGTTATGTGTCAGTTGTTCCCACATCCCACTTTCGTGCCAGTTCTGAACATGAAACAAAACAAAATTACAAGGAAATAATTCCTGAAATGGCTACAAATTCCCCTCCCTTTCTCACCACTGAAAGGGAAAGGAGAAGAGTTTCTCTAATCATTTCAATGTCCCTGCTCAGATTCCTTCACTGTGAAATGCTGAGTAGAGGATTTGCCATGACGGGGATGGTTCTAAGGATGGATGAAGAGAACAGTACGAGTCCGACCCTCATACCTTGTCCTTCCAGGCTACTGATAGAGACAACTGATGGGTTGCAAGTGCCTACAAATAACTGAGCCCGGAGTGGAAGAGTTTTACAGAGGCACTGAATACCCAAACCTGGGCACACAAAGTTAGTCACCCTGAATGAGCAACTCCTGTTGAAAATATGTCCCTGCATGTGTTTGAGTTGGGAGGGAGGGGTAGAAAAAGTTCTGTGATAAATTCTTCCCATTGCTCGGGTGTTTAGACCTCTCTGTGCTGAGGAACTGCGGGGTTCTGTCAAGGATTCTTGATCAGCTGTCAAGGAGTTCTCCCACTGGTCCGTTTGGTCTCCTCTGCTTGCCCTTCAAGGGGCAGGGATGGTGCAAAGCATTTGCCAGCTTGCAACTTGGAACACGGTGCCGCAGAGGGACCCAAATATATTTGTGAGCACATAAAAAAAAAGGGGGCCTGTTATTCCAGCCTTATCTTGGCAGAGCGGGACCAGTGTGTGGAGGGGTGGGGCATGAAATCATCTTTTAGCTCTTCTTCTGTTGATGGGGAGAGGAAATAAGGCCAGATGGTTTCTGTGCCCTTTGCTAGACCCGTAACAATGGTGGAGGGCTGTGGTGACCAGTGCATGGCCCCAACCTGGCAGTTTCTTGCAATGTTTCCGTTGTGCTCAGCTCTGCAGGTACAACACGAGGCAGAGCGTGAGGTCTAAAAGATGCAGTGGAGGCCAGAAGCCAGAGGACTCTGTGTGTGTGTTTTTTTTTTCTTTTTGAATTATAAACTCGCTTCTTGCAGGCCTCAGAGAAGAAAAGTGATTTTTAAGGAGGATGGTGGGTTGAGAAACTGGGAGATCAGCACTCGACACACCATCACAACAAAGTTGTTGCATTCTTATGAATGAGTAGATTGCAATTTGTATCAAACAGATTGTGACAGTATTCTATAGTGCCTAGTCCATGGGCAGTGTATTGTTAGAATTCCATTGTAGCCCAAGCGCTTAGTTCTTCAGTATTTGCTTGGCAGGTGGATTTTTAGGTCTAGTCCAAAGCCCACTGAGGTGAATGGGAGACTTTTTTGATGAGCTTTGGATCAGACCCCAGACTCCCCAGTGCCGCTGGTGCAGGTGAACATTGAACTGGAAGCTCAGTCATTCAGTCAGGACTAAAGAAACTCAGCTTTGCCTTCCTCCAGAATGGCTGCATTGACCAACTTTGTGTCCTCCTCTAGTCTCCTTTGGGCAACTTGGCAGTGCCTTTCCTTGCAAAGGAGTGCCTGGCTGGACTCTCCATTGTTTGCAAGGATTCCCTGCAGCCTCTGAGGGAAATGCCTCCACTCCTAAGATAGGGCGTTAACAGGCACCTGGTCTGTGGTGCACACTTAGTTTTTACAATAATGGATGAAAACTTCTGAGTAGCCGTTGATGGCCCTTCCTTTATCCGATGAGAAATCTGAAATAAGGATGAATTTGTCCACTTGCACATGCCTGAGATGACTCTCTTTGTCATCTCAGTTGCTGAGAAGCAGCATTATAAATAAACAACCCTCTATCCCCAAGTGGGAGGAGACCCATCTTTCCTGATTAACTTGTTTGCAAGGGCCGTATCTCACCCTCACGGCTTGTAACATATGTTTGCATAGCACAGAGCAGAATACACCCTCTCTGGGCTCAGGAAATCATAAATAATGCCAACTCCCTTCAGCTTAAGCTTTCTGTGCCGGCAAACAGGCCCAAGTGACAATGTAAATATTGAGTTTGCTCTCTTTGAAGAGGGAGCTGTACATTCCTAAGAAGCAGTTGTGGACAGACAAGTGTTAACGTTACCAAAGCCTTTGCAAGAGGTCAAGGGAGTTTAACGTTGTACTGGCTGCTCCAAGGTAGCTTTGACTCGAAGGGAGTTATTGCCCTGTCCCTATTCTGAGGGCTTACGAGGGATGTGAGCGGTGCTGAGTCTCTGCATAGGAGTGAAATTCACTCCATGGACCCAAAGGCGAGCAGCACTGGGATTGGGAGCTATTTTCACTTTCTAGGCAGGGGCCTGGGTTACCCCATTCAGACAAGGTTCCATTTGAGGGACACAGTGGATTCATAGGCATGGGAACTAGGAGTTTGGGGGGGGGTTGCAACACCCCCACATTTTACATGGGCTCCTGTCTGCTGGCCCAGGGCCCTAGCTGCTGCTCTTGGTATTTGTGATGCCAGAAGTCTGAGTGGAAATTCTTCTTCTCTACTCTGTGCTGATGAGGCCTCAACTGGAGTACTGTGTCCAGTTGGGGCACCACATTCCAGGAAAGAGATGGACAAATTGGAAATAGTCCAGAATAAAGCAACAAAAACAATGAACATAAGAACGGCCACACTGGGTCAGATCAAAGGTGCATCCAGCCCAGTGTCCTGTTGGCCGACAGTGGCCAATGCCAGATGCCCCAGAGGGAGTGAACCGAACAGGGAGTCATCACATGTTCCCTCTCCTGTCATCCATTTCCATCCTGTGATAAACAAATGCTAGGGACACCATTCCTATCCATCCTGGCTGATAACCATTGAGGCACCTAACCTCCATGAATTTATCTAGTTCTTTCTTGAATCCTGTTAAAGTCCTGGTCTTCACAACATCCTCTAGCAAGGAATTCCACAGGTTGACAGTTCCACAGGTTCTGCCATAGAAATGGCATCAATCACTCCTGCCATTTACTGTAGGCGTACCATTGTTTTATATAGAGGCAGGTCTAGAAAACATGAGCTTTGAGGGAAGAGTGAAAGCATTGGGTTTGTTTTGTCTGTAAAAGAGAAGACTGAAAGAGGACATAACAGTTTTTAAGTATCTAAAAGGTTGTTACAAAGAGGAGGGAGAAAAATTATTCTTAACCTCTGATGATAGGACAAGAAGCAGTGGGCTTACATTGCAGGAAGGGAGATTTAGGTTGGAAATTAGGAAAAACTTCCTAACTGTTGGGGTTCTTAAACACTAGAATAAGTTGCCTAGGGAGGTTGTGGAATCGCCATCACTGGAGATATTGAAGTGCAGGTTAGACAAACACCTGTCAGGGATGGTTTAGATGGTGGTTGGTCTTGCCATGAGTGCGGGGGAGTAGACTTGATGACCTCTTGAGGTTCCTTCCAATTCTAGTGTTCTGTGATCACAGTGGTCCCTTCTGGTGTTAATATCTTATGCACATATTTCCCTTCATTTTTGCACAGCTGCCTGAGAGTTTGCAATGAGGACATTGCTGAAAACAGGCCTGCGATAGAGTCTAGCCTGTGCCCTATTGTAGCTGCCAAACACCTGGCTTTATGAGGAACAATTAACATGCACAATAGACAGGAGGATCCTGTTCCACAGTAAGTTCTTGCCACTGCTTAGCTGCATGGGGGCAACTTTCTCCTCCCTTTAGATTGTCTGCCCACAAAGAGAGCTGAAGGGCAGAACACCACCCTCTAGCAGCCAGAGGATGCTGACGTGCCAGCTGGGAAGTGAAGTGTTTTGATGCAGTGCTTTTTTTGTTTGTTGTTGTTCTTGTGGGATATGGATGCAGAAAACTGCCTGTTCCATTCCCCATCTTCTGCTGCACAAGGCAGGTAGCCCTTTGCTTTCAGATTGGCCTGTTGCTATGGCTAGAAAAGAGGCCTAGTGTTCCCCTTAGAACACTGGGACCAGCCTCCGTCGCTCTGCCTCTTTAAGTCCCTCCAGTCCCCTGCCTCCTGGCCCCTCTAGGGACCTGTCCTACTTTTGGGTAGGCCAATGAGCTAATCTTGTTCTGCCAGCGACCATGTTCATTATAATGCAGTAGCAGAGCTGGTCCACAAACTCTTCAGTGGAACCACTTTCTGTTGGAATACGTCATATTGTGCAAAACTCAATGTTGTGTGGGAAATAGATTGATCTTGACAAAATTTTCCGTTGGAAAAAGTTGAAAAGTTTTTTGGATGGGGAGGTTGGGAAGGAGTTTTCCTTTGGTCAGATTGGCAATGAGCTTGGATTTATTTGAAAAATTTTTTTTTTTTTGGCCTTCTGCAGCATGAAGTGCAGGTCACTTGCCAGAATCACCTGGGTGTTTCTCACTTCATCAGATCCTTCCCTTTTTGAAGCTCTTCAGCTCAGTTACCCTCTATTCTTCCTAGTCTCTTCCTGCAATACGAATACCTTAGTCTCCTGAAGCCTGAGAGACGTTGGTCTAATTTCGGGGCGGGGGGGAAGGGGTTAGTGTGTGCAGGCCCACCGATGGGAGCCCAGTGATTTAAGGAGCCTCGGGGCTCCTTTAGCAAGCCCCGCTTGAATCAGGGACTTCACGTTTAGCTTTGTGCTGCCCCTGTTGGCTGGTAGTGCTGTCCGCGCTCCAGCTCAGAGCACGGCTGCTGGGTGTGTACTGGATGCGTTCAGCTGCATCAATGCTATTTTTGCTTCTCACTTGTCAATGAAGCAAACTAGAGGCAGGATAATTGTCTATTTCACATGGAGTCAGGGCCTCGGGAGCCGAGTGAACTCAGCTAACTGAAGGCTAAATGCCAAGGTCCCCATCGTTCCTCCGAGTGCCATTCTCGTCCAACAGGCCTTTCGCTCATGGAGATGACTTGGTGGTGTCAGTCATTTCTCATTCACTGCCTGGGGAGAGCTCTGAAATTACTCAGAACTGTTCATTGCAGGGCCATGATGGGATTCT